GTGAGTGCTGTTGGCTGGGACTGTTGGTGGGCTGATGGGGGACTGTGCGTTGCAGCTGTGCCACCCCAGGGACCTGAGCCCTCGCGGCTTGGAGCTTGGTGCTAGCAGCTGCACTGGTTGGACTTCCCGTGGAGCCCTGCTGTCACTGGCAGGGTGCAGGGGTGCTCTGGGCCCCAGCCACCCTGCAGCGTGGGCTACCTGGAGGCCGGGGTGGACCCTGGCACTCTGGCTTTGCACCCTGTTCCTACAAAGCCAAGCACGGGGCTAGAGAAAATGCAGGAGTTGCATGGTGTGTGTGACAGCTTTCCTGATGCCATTTTCTCTGGGAGAGGCTGTTCTGTCCCAAATTTTCCTTTCCCAGTGACAGCCCTGTCCTTTCTGAGGCCATGGGCAAGGAGATCCCTGAACTTTTGTTCTGGGCTTGCCTTCTTCAAAGCAGTATTGAGAGTATGCCTGATGTGTGTTGGGCTTCATCACGCAGGACTTGTCCCTGGTCTCTTGAGTCCTGATAGGGGTACCCCTTGCAGTTCCCCCAGCCTGCTCTGCCCCTTGGCTCAGCTGAGTGTTTCCATCTCTGCCAGGAGGCCTTGATCCACCTAGGGGCCAAGTTCTCCCCGTGCATGAGGCAGGACCAGCAAGTGCACAGCTTCATCAGCGCCAAGCGGGAGAAGGAGAAGCACTCGGCTTGCTGCGTGCGGAACGACAAGTCAGGCTGTGTGCAGACCTCAGAGGAGGAGTGCTCGGTGAGTGTGGTGGCCCCTTTTGTGCTGTCCCTCCTGGCTCAGGGCCACTTCTATTAATGCTTCTCCTACTTTGGGCTTCGTGGTGACACCTCCTCTCTCTCCTGCAGTCCACGTTGGCCGTGTGGGTGAAGTGGCCCCATCACCCCAGCACACCAATGCTGGCAGGAAGCAAGAGGCAGTTTGGGTCTGTTTGTCATCAAGACCCCAGGTAGGTCCTGCCTAGCCTGGCTGCCACCCTTGGGGGGACAGAGCTGCTGTGACAGTAGAGTCAGAGGGGCATGGAGTCCCAGGCCAGTTGGTTGCTGGATGGGACAGCAGCTGCTCTGGAAAGCAAGGGACATGGGGGCAGGGATGTCCCTGCCTGCCCTGATGGCTGCAGGGGAGGCTGAGGCAGAGCGTGATCATGTTTCTGCTCACCCCTAGTCTCCCTGGTTGTTGGCTGCCCACCTGCACTGCGGCCTGTTGTGAGCTGTGGGTGCCTTCCTCATCCCTCTCCCCCTCCTCACCTGCTCCTCGCACAGGACCCCCTCTTGGGGTACAGCAGTCACGTTCACAGCACACCTCTGCCCCAGAGCCCTGCCAGCTGCTGGGTGCTCACAGCACACCTCTGCCCCAGAGCCCTGCCAGCTGCTGGGTGCCACAGCACACCTTTGCTCTTGGTCACCATGGGTTGATGTAGAACTGAGACCAGCTGAATGTCCACCTTTGGGGTTGTGTCCACTGGGAAAGGAGCCAGGGAGTTGCTGGGCAGCTCTGTGCTCTCAGACAGCTGCCTTTGTGCTGAAGCTCTGATCTCTGCTCACTGGAAGGAGGCTGTGGCTTTGACCAGCGCAGCCTTGGCTCATCTGATGTAGCGTGTCCTCAGCCCCTTGCCAGGGACAGAGGGGAGCTGTGGGACTGCAGCCTGGGGACAGGGACAGTGTCGTGGCTTCCTGCAGGGTCCTGCCTGCTGCTGGGGAAAGTTATTTCTCAGGCTGATCTCTGCTTTCTGTTTCTGCAGAGTGTGTGAGCAACCAGCCTCGATGGAGCCGCATGAGTGGCCAGATGACATCACCAAATGGCCGGTGAGCATTGCTGGTGGCACGGAGCCCATCCAGGCAGCTGGAATATGGCATTTGTATCCCCCTGTGCAGAGCCACAGCTGTGTTGGTGGAAGGATGGGGTCTCTGGTGCAGCCTTCTGCTTGTTGTCACAAACACCAGATCAGGACAGCCAGGGCTCTGTCTAGCCGAGGCTCAAAGCCCTCCAGCAACAGAAGTTGCCCTGTGCCACCTAAAGCCCTGGGTCCTTCCAGGGTGATGGAGACCGACTTGGCCTCGGGGCTGTTTTCATCCCTGGGAGGAGGAGGTGTTGACTGAGGCTCAGGCAGGTGGGGTGTCAGGCACCATCCTGCTCTCAGAGGGTGTGTGTGGGACTGGCTTCTTCCCAAGGGGCTGTTTTGACTTTACCCAAGCAGCAAGCAGAGCCACAGCTGTGTGACTGCAGCCTGTTGTTGTTTTCCAGATCTGCACAAAAAACAGCGCTGGGAATTACACCAACCACCTTCACATGGACTGTGTGATTACAGGCCGGCCCTGCTGCATTGGGACCAAGGGAAGGTAATGGGCTTTACCTGTATGGAGGGGGGCTGGTGTTGGGGTGAGACAGGGGGACCTGTTCAGGTTGTAGACTCAGCCATTTGTCCTCCTTGTCCTTCCCACACGCAGACCTGAGCCCTGCTGGGAAGGGGAGCTGGACTGGGAGCCATGACAGGTCTCTGAGACAGAGCAGGACTCTGGGCTGAGCAGGAGATAACAGCCAGCCCCAGTCTTTGGTGGGGCAGGGTATCTCGCTCAACTGGTCCTGCAGTTTGGAGGGACTCAGATCCCAAGGGATTAAATACTTCTGCTGAGGACTTCTCTTCTTTTCCTTGGGAATGGCCAGCTGGGTCCTGACAGGCTACATTGTCCCCAGCCTGGCATCCCAGAGCATTCAAGGAGATGTCAAGAAACAACCTGCTGTGTGTTTGCCAAGGAGGAAGATGCTGTTCTTCCTTATGTTGCTCCTCAGCTTGAGTAGTACCTAGTGTTTGGGCCTGGCTTTCCCCACTAGGGAGAAAAGTCAGTGCTGCCCCAAGGAGTTTCTCTGTCCCTGAAAGTCAGGACCAGGACACTCTGGGCCTAGCCCCCCCGCCTCCACTGTCCGAGGCACAAGACTCCCCCAGTCCCAGAAACACATCTTCCCCAAGCTCTGGTGGTTCTTTCCCAGCTGTACCTAGCTCAGCTTTAGCACTGGTTTTGGAGCCCCTGTACGCAGGGCGTTAGTCTTTGGAGGTGACTTGGGCTTGCCTGTAGCAGGGAGGCAGGTGAGGGGTACAGAGGGTGGCACTGGGCTCAAGTGAGAATGTGTTAAACACCACAGCACGTCTGGGGCAGCTGAAGGCATCAGTTCTCATAGGCAGACTTGGGGGAGTGAGTGGCCTGGGAGGGCACAGGATGGTCCATTGTGCCTTCCACATGTGACATGTTCTTCGTTTTGATTACTTGTGACCCCTCTAGGTGTGAAATAACCTCCCGGGAGTATTGTGAATTTATGCGGGGCTATTTCCATGAGGAGGCAACACTCTGCTCTCAGGTAAGTGTGGAGTTGAGGGTTTGTGGAGCTGCCCTTCTCCCTCCTCTTCCCCTTAGCAGCTTGGCAACGTCTGGGGGTGACTGTGCTGCAGTGTAGGTGGGAGTCCTGTGTCCTGTCCCACCCTGAGCCTGGGGGGAAGTTGCTGATCCAGACTGCAGTGGCAGAGCTGGCTGCATCTGTCCCTCTTTGGAGACCAGTTTAGGACTTGAGTTGGCAGCTGTGAAAGCCCAACACAGGACCACGATGGAAGCAGCAGGAGAATGCAGCCTTCCTGCTCCAGTGGCGAGCAAATGCACGTGTCTCAGTTGTGTATGTTGGGGTGAAGAATGAGGACAAAAAGCTTTAAGGGGGAATGGGTGGGGTCCTGGTGTGGGAGACAGGAGTTGGGACTTGATACAGTGGAGAAGAGGGAGGAGACCCCCTCTTTCAGAGCTGACTGCAGTCTCTGCCCTGGCCTTACCCCCTTGGTAAAGGGCCATGCTGGCTGGCACACCTCACAACCCCACCCCACTTCTGCCCTAGGTGCACTGCATGGATGATGTCTGTGGGCTCCTCCCTTTCCTAAATCCAGAAGTCCCTGACCAGTTCTACCGCCTCTGGCTCTCACTTTTCCTCCATGCTGGGTAAGCAGAGGTGCAAAACTTCCACTGTCTGAGTGGGGGAACCCTGGGATTGCTGTGAGGCTTGTTCTGGCAGTCCCTCCCCTGGGGAACACCGGGGTGCTGAGCTGTTGTCCTGGCTGAGGTTCACTATCCTGTTTGCTGGGCGGGATGTTGGAGGCGTGGGCAGGGCCAGAGCAGGAGCTCTCAGCGAGGCTCAGCAAAGAACACAAGCACAGGGGTGACTTCAGTGGCTGCTGCTTCAGCTCCTGTACTCTGAACTTGGCAGGATCCTGCACTGTCTGGTTTCAGTCTGTTTCCAAATGACGATCCTGCGGGACCTAGAGAAGCTGGCAGGATGGCATCGCATCTCCATCATCTACCTGCTCAGTGGCATCACTGGGAACCTTGCCAGTGCAATATTTCTACCCTACAGAGCAGAGGTGGGTCTCCTGCAGACTAGGGTCCTGGTAACAACATAAGCCTTCTCTCCATGCCTGTGGCTCTTGGGCACATCTCTGCAGCACGTGCCTTGTGCAGATTTGTATCTAGAAGACAGCACCACACCATCATCTAGCTGCTGAGCACTAACCTGGGCAAGCAACTGGCCCGCTCTGGCTGCAGTAAGGCTGCTGCTCATAAGGAATGGGGGATAGGAGCAGCCCCTGGCAGGCTGGGGATTGAGAGCTGTTCCTGCTCCCAGAGACCCTCCACATGGGAGCAGCAGGCAGGAGAGGGGCAAAGAACAGGGCTCACCTTTCCCACAGCCTGTTCCTCCAGCCATAGCTGGAGAAGTCTGATGTGACTATTCAGCTTCCCTTCAGAAGACTGCGTGGCAATGGTGCAACAGGCAAAGTGCAGGATGGGTGGGGGAAGCCAGGAAATTGCCTTCAAGGGCTTCTCCTCTCTGGTGACTTAAACCACATCTGCCCTCCTTAAATATGAAATCTGTCCCAGTGATTGGTGGCCTCACACCTACTTTGATCCTAAATCAGACCAGGCCCCTTTATTCCTTGAATCCCATTATAAGGATGAAGTTGCAGGCTGTGACATCTCTTTCCCAAGAAACACAACAAGGAGTTGAGTAACAAGTAACTGTAATGCCTGGAGCTGGCTGCAGAAGCCAGGCAGATGGTACGTGCCTGATGTTACCTGTAATGTTCTTCTTCTGCAGGTTGGCCCTGCAGGATCCCAGTTTGGGATTCTGGCCTGTCTCTTTGTGGAGCTCTTCCAGAGTTGGCAAATCCTGGCACGCCCATGGAGGGCTTTCTTCAAGCTGCTGGCTGTGGTGCTCTTTCTTTTTGCCTTTGGCCTCCTGCCTTGGATTGATAATTTTGCTCACATTTCAGGATTTATCAGTGGTTTCTTCCTCTCCTTTGCCTTCCTGCCCTACATTAGCTTTGGGAAGTTTGATTTATATAGGAAGCGATGCCAAATCATAGTTTTCCAGCTCATCTTCATTGCACTCTTCTCAGGACTTGTGATTCTATTCTATTTCTACCCCATCAAGTGTGAGTGGTGCGAGTTCCTTACTTGTATACCATTCACAGACAAATTCTGCGAGAAATACGACCTGGACGCGCAGCTCCACTGAAAGCAAAGTCTGGCTTCTCGAGCAGGCACTGGAGATGGCCTGTCTTTGCGTTTGCTGTGCCAGTTCCATGTGGACAAAGCCTCTAATCCAATGACACTTCTAACCCTGCCCGTGGTTAATTTAAACTGTCTCCTTAGCACTTGGCAGGCATGTTTTGCCTTATCTCAGAAGACTCTGAAAACAGAACGTTTGTGCCTTGTTCAATTGTATTGAACCTTTTCTGCTGCCATTATTTTTATTACACTAGTTTCAATACTACATTTTTAACCAAGAGTTGTTTACTACTGCTAAGGTGGTGATTAAATGGTAAGGTAGCGTTTTAGCTACTGCTAATTGTTCTGCACAGTCTGTGGCTATGTTTATTACTTTCTATCACCTAAGCTCTTTCCTGTACAAGTAGAATCAATCCTTTTCTGGCACCCACAACAGTCAGACACAGATTTGCAGCTGGAAATAATGGCCTTAAAAATCTCAGAAAACTAGAAGATCTCTTTAATCAGTAAAAGTGCATTCCACAGCCAGCTCTGAGGCAGACATTTCAAAGAGCAACTGCAGAAAACATGTGAGAATGTCCATTCAGCTGGAGCTTGTTTCTCTTTGTAATGTTACAACCTTTTCCTCCAGGAAAATCCGGAATCCACAGTCTGGTCTTTGTAGGGCTGGATTCTCTGCTCTCTCTGTTAAAGAAAGAAAAGAGTTGGCAGTGACAATAGTTACTGCATGCTGGGTGTTCTTATCACCACACTACTGTGCCCACGCTGTCCAGGGAGGATCCGCCAGTGCCAGAGGTGACTGCAGGTTGTAGGCACCATGGGGCAGATGGCTTCTGGCATGGCACACCTTTTATTATTATTATTATTATTATTATTGCAAATGTGGCAGCATTGAAAGAAGAAAAAAAAAAAGTTACTGTGGTCACAAAGCAACAGTTTGTAACCCAGTGAGCTGGAGCCACAGAACAAAAACCAAAGCATTTGGAAAAGCTGCTCTGACCCCTGCTCTTCAGACACCGTGATTGCACTTTCAGATGTGGAGGGGAAGTGGACACAATTTTAAACTTACTAAACTCGAGAGTCCTGGCCCCATCTTGTGTTTGTGTGCACAGCTTTCTAAAAATAGCAGTATACTGCCAGAATTCTGTCTGCATAGGTTACAAACGGGTAAATATACATGCTACTAGTGCTTCCTGTGCTGGAAGTGTTCTTAAAGGCAGCAGTGGCACAGAAATACTGTGACCAAAAGTTGTCTAATACTGCGTCCTGTCTTCCAAGAACAATGAACTGGTTGAACTCAAGTTTCTATAAACCAGAAAACAGAGAAGCTGGGAATCAAAAACTAGAGGATACATAAGCTAAGGGCCCTTTTCCGAACTCAGTGCAGTTTGCCATAATTGAGAAAAATGGCTCAAACTCCACCCACTGTGAACAGCAAAGAACATGCTGTGTGTGCTTGTTGGATGTGCTTGTGTGCACCCACAGAACATTTATGTTAGCTGCAGTGCTCTGAATGGTAGAGGAGCACTAGGGGCAGGGGGGGAGAGCAGTCACTTGGGCACACAGAAGGACCAAATGACCTGGGGGAGGGTGATCACCTGTAGCACAGAGACCCCCCCCCATCCTCCTAGGGATTAGTTAGCACCCAGCCACATTCCTGACAGTGATTTCCAGACATGCAAGAAGCCTAAAAGAAAGCAAGGTCCTAGAAGCAATCACAAGGGCAAACAATGGAACACTGCATTTTGAGTCTCAAGACATTATGGGAACACATTCAGGGTTTGAACATAAAATCAGGTTAGAGACACACCACTGCCAGCACTAAGATATTGCTGCTGCTCCTCATGTATAGTACCTGGAATAGTACCTGAATTATCATTCCCTGCCCTGAGAGAAGCACAAGCACCACAACCAGGACATAGAAATAGAGCACAGCCAGGGCACAAGCCTAATGCAGACACAGGCACTCAGAAATGCTCTGCTGCACAGCAGAGAGCGGCACCACCAGCCTGTAGGCACCACAAGCCTGAACACTAAGGCCCAGGGAAGAGGAAGAAGAACTGGAAACTCTTAATGGACACTCCAGACTCACCTGACAGGTTACTTTCGAAGCTTCTTTACAAAGCTGACCTCATCCCGGTTTCTGATGCCGTACCTGAACAGAGAGTGATGCTGTTACATGCCAGTTTCCCAGGAACCACAGCCTTTGAAATCCTTTAGCCTCCTCTTTCCCAAGGGGAGATAGATTCCTACAATCACGTGCTGTGTTTCAATGCAGGACAAGTTAAAATTCTCACTTGTGCATGTAGAACATGTTGCCAGCACAGGAGGATCTGATCACCTGCCTTTTTAGCTGTAACATCCCCTTAAACGCAATGTTTGTCCCCCATGGCTCATTCTTTCAGAGACAGCTTTAATTAGGGCTGTCTTGCTAAATTTTTAGTACTTCAGACAAGCTTTTCATCCTGGTCTGCACACAGGCTGGCAAACCCAGCACAGCTGTATGCAACAGCTGGAGTGCTCAGAAGCACCTCCTGCCTGCTTGCCCCGAGAATGGGCATGGAAGTGGGGGAGTGATTTATCAATGGTATTATGAGATGGTCTCTGAGAGGTGGCTGAGCAAGTCCAGAGCCCAACAGGCTTATTCTCAGTTTGCTCTTTGCTTGCCATTCTTCCATCCTCCTTCCTACCTTTCTACCTCAGCAGCTCTGCCAAGCCCTTGTGAGGGTGACTGAGCACTGGAACCAGTTCTCCAGAGAGGTTGTGGAATCTACATTCTTGGAGATATTCACACCCCAACTGGATGCAGCCCTGAGCAGACAGATCTAGCTGACCCTGCTTGTGCAGAGGGTCAGACGAGGTGACTTCCAGAGGTGTCTTCCACTCTGGATCCCCTCTACCAAGTAATGTGTCCTGACCCTCTTCTCTGCTGAGTAGTTGCTTCCCAAGTGCTCTCAGTATCCCTAGAGATGAACTAACGATGTACATGGCTGCCTCTGTGTTTTACTCCCCTCACACTTGTGCTTTTTCTCACTAATCTTGTCTCTGCATGTACCTCAGGTACAAGCTCAGTAAGCACAGCTTATTCTGCAGGAGTTTGGCATGGATGGCCAAGGGGCAGTAAGTCCCAGTGCCTTGGTGTGGTCTGAACTGGAGGAACACACTCAGCACAGGACGGCTATAGCTAAGGAACTACCCAAGGCTTTCCTGTCCTGCAGACAGACTCTCGGTCTGTCAGCCCTGTCCCACCTCTGTCTGCAGGGCTGGTCCCACTTTCAGTCCATTTCAAGTGTAGAGCCTACCTGAACCAGGGCACAAAGCCCGAGTTATCCCAGCCTGTGTGGATGCTGCCTGGCCTCCAGTGAGGCCTCTCCAGCCCCCAGGCGCCAGCAGAGACCCGGTTACTCACTCTCTCAGCTTCTTTCTGTCATCGGCCAGTTTCTCCCCTGCGTAGGTTAGGTGGTACGTCCTCCATATGTACTTCCTAGGGGAGAAAAGACTTAGGAGGAGCCGTTGGACACTTCCTAGGGGGAAAAAAACACTGAGGGGAGCAGCAGGAGGAGCCGCTGGCCAGGGGCTGGTGGGGAAGGT